CACAAGCCCTGCCAGCAAACCTGCTCCAGTGTGGGCTCCTCTCTCCACAGGTCCTGCCAGGAGCCTGCTCCAGCACGGGCTCCCCACGGGGTCACAGACTCCTTCAGGCATTCCCCTGCTCCGGCGTGGGGTCCCTTCCACGGGCTGCAGGTGGAGATCTGCTCCACCATGGACCTCCATGGGCTGCAGGGGCGCAGCCTGCCTCACCATGGTCTGCTCCACGGGCTGCAGGGGAATCTCTGCTCCGGCGCCTGGAGCACCTCCTCCCTCTCCTTCCTCACTGACCTTGGTGTCACGCAACGGTAGCTGGCAGTTTCCTCAGCTGAATGGTGTCTGTTACAACGGATCCGCTGATGGAAACATTAATTCACACACAAAGTCTCCGCTGCTTTCTTCCCTTGCTTTGTCCATGCTGACACCAGCACCCAGAAAAGCCACGAGGTACGGTGTGATGTAAAGTGCTATCACTCCCATCACACATTTTTGTTGTCCGTGACATACTTTTCTTTAAATCTGTTTTTCAGCTCTATAGCCTGGCCTCATCCGCCCAGTCTTTTCTCTTCCTTCTATCCAGCGTTTCTAGTCACTGTGTTGCTTCCCTCTCCCCACACAGAGTTTACTGAAGATTAAGTGACGTTAACAATCGTGCCCAAAATTGTAATTGTGGAGCAGATGAGAAACTCAACATAGCTCGAAGCCAGGGAGCTATAAAACTTAACAGTCCTTTCATGGACTGAATTATTCAAGCAGAAGTAAGCTTCAAGTCCTGGAGTTTACGCTTCTTCCCCACAACTGTCATCCACATGTGGCTAATAAATTAACCACGCAGACCGACTGAAGCCAATACCGCACAGATCACCGCTTTAGAGGAGCAACACCGGCCCAGTCTCTCGAGACAGAATTTGTGGTTTTGTCTGAAAAGGAGCAGTGTGGTGTAAGGAAGAAACGGTGGCAGCTTGTTGTGGGACCAGGCGCACAGCGGAGCGCGGAAGGCACGGCTTTGGGACTGACCAGTTCCTAGCATCGGCATTCTCGCGCGGAGCTTTCAGCCTCGGTGCTGCTGCGCAAAGCTTCCAGTATCATGTTCAAGCGTGGAAAATTTTCAATACTGCCTTCCTTGTTGGAGGATGGACAGATGTTAAGAGTACAACTGTTTGGTTTCTTATGCTGCCCTACGTTGCATGACACTGCATGACACAACCCTCTATGTATATATTTAGTTGTACAAAAGCTTTCTTTTTCAGAGAAGCAAATCCAGAGAAAGAAAATCTTTAAAAGAACAAAGAGCCTAATTTCTTTCTTCAGGCATTTGATTAAATAATTTGAAAGGCAGGTCTCATTTTTTCCCATAGCAGTAATTAGACTTTCTCACCCTACCTGCTTTTCCACAATCATTTTCTTCGTATTCTTAGGACAGACATGAAAACAGATGCAACAGAGAAAGCCTCACTGCAATTATATCCCATGGTTTCCAAAGACTGCTCCAAAGTAATTTTTTCCATTAACTTGCTATATTAATGTTAAAAGGAAGAGCAAAATTATGTTAATAATAAACTCACATAAAGTTTTTTTGCTGTTGTTGTTATTCAAGAACTGACAGAGAATGGATTTGGAAGGGTATAATGAGAAATTCTTCTCTCCTTTCAACTGTTAAAAATCCTTTCTGGCGCCTGCAGCCGTTGTGATTAATGTTTCAGTGACAAACTCCCAGAGGTCGTAACTTGCTATCTGAGAAGCACCGACATTGAGGAAACTCTGTTTCCTGAAATCTAGCGGACCACTTTGTTGTTCTTTCAACTGGATCAGCGAGGATTCAGAAGTAAAACTGACTTTCATGGAGTTAACCCACATTTTTATATGCCTGAACATACCTATGCATTTGAGTGGTGTGATGTGGAGGGCTCCAGGTAAGTCTGGTGGGCAAAGAATGGTGTTAACACCGGAGATACTAACGGCTGTACTATGATTCATTCAGTACGCACTAACATCATAACATTGTACCATCTGTTACAAAACTATTTTATGAACTAGAAAACGCTCCGCAAGAGACTGTCCTATACAGGTGGTTTACCACGAAGTGAATCAGTAACCCACCTGGCAGCTGAATTCACAAAACAGAGCGGCGCTTTCCCAGTAACGCACAAAGTAAAGGCATTTTTAAAGCTCCATAACAAATTAAAGCTCCTCGCAAAGTGGCTAGGCCTTCACAGAATTCAGGACCGCAGAAACGAGAACGTTAATTTGCTAACAAGAAGCAGTGGAATGGTTTACAGTAATAAAGACCCAAAGCTGGAACATGAAATATGCCCTGTGTAAATGTGTCGGGTTTTGTTTTGTTTTTTGTTTTCAGAAGATAAGTGCAGGCTTTGTTTGTAGGTTAAACACTGTCCAAAGGAATAGCCACAGAAGTTAGCTGATACAAGAAGCTGGGCAACTGGCTACTGACAGGCTTTGGCATCTGCAACGCGAATACGTGTCTCTGCGTGCTCTGCCAATCCACCTCCCAGTCACCCTCTCTTCATAGGAGATTTTGGCTAACTTTTTCCATCTTACATTATGTCTTTTAGGGCTGCAGCTTGAGCAAACACACGAAGCTTACCGTGAAATAGGGACAGAGGAGGCATTTACTGCTGTATTAGTGAGCTGTTCAGTGTGAACACATCTTTGTCGGGAGGTGAAAACCAAATGGCCAGCAGGTCAAGGGAGGGGATTCTGCCCCTTTACTCTGCTCTCGTGAGACCCCACCTGGAGTACTGCGTCCATCTCTAGAGCCCCCACCATAGGAAGGACATGGATGTGTTGGAGCGGGTCCAGAGGAGGGCCATGAAGATGATCTGAGGGCCGGAGCCCCTCTCCTGCAAGGACAGGCTGAGGGAGTTGGGGCTGTTCAGCCTGGAGAAGAGAAAGCTGCGGGGTGACCTTATAACAGCCTTCCAGTACCTGAAGGGGGCCTACAGGCAGGATGGAGAGCGACTTTTCACAAGGGTGTGTAGTGATAGGACAAGGGGGAACAGCTGTAAACTGAAAGAGGGCAGATTCAGATTAGATATTAGGAAGAAATTCCTCACCATGAGGGTGGTGAGGCGCTGGCACAGGTTGCCCAGAGAAGCTGTGGCTGCTCCCTCCCTGGCAGTGTTCAGGGCCTTCAGGGCCATGCTTGATGTAGCTCTGAGCAACCTGGTCTAGTGGAAGCTGTCCCGGCTCACGGCAGGGGGGTTGGAACCAAATGATCTTTGAGGTCCCTTCCAACCCAAACCATTCCGTGATTCTTGTTACACGGAGCAGCAGAGCTGGAACAGGGGAGACTCTGGAGATACAGGCACTGACCGTCTCACGCCTGCAGCTAGCCAGCACCCTCAGACAGCTGTTCTGTAGCTAGCTTTATTTTCTTTTAGCATCGACTAGGCCAACACGATTAGAACCCCACCACAGGCGTGACACCTTCAGTGAGCGAGGCTGCTGCAGCGCCGCAGGGGCGGCGGCGACC